TATATATATATATATATATATATATATATATATATGGCAAAGACGACAAATGTCAGGACAGTAAAACGCACAGAAAACACCCCATCTCACCACCCAAAAGACTCATTGTGCCACCACACCTCCCGCCCGCGCGAGACCCAGGGCCCGACGCACCGCCTCGTCTCGCGCACCATCTCCTCGGGCCCGCACACGAGCACCGCCACGCGCTCCTCGGACCCGTGCCTGAAGACGTCGTCGACGAGCCGCCGCAGGTCCGGCCTGCGCCGGTTGTGCTGCGCCGTTAGCCGCCCGCCGCGCCGGTACAGCGCGTTGAGTTCCGTGCCGCCGTCGCCGTCGGGCACCGCCAGGCTCGAGCCGCTGGCTGCGCTGTCGCCCAACAGCGGACCCGTCAGGAAGAGGTGTACGTTCTCGTCGGCCAGTATCGAGACCGGGCCCTTGTCCTCGCCGTCTTGGTCGTCTTCCCGTTGTTGTGATTGTGCTTGTTGCTGCTGCTGGACAGCCCACGTGGCGTCCCCGGCACCCCGGAGCGCCCACACGAGCTCGACCTTGGCAGAGGGGTTGTCGTGCCGGATGGCCCTGTACAACGGCACCGCAAAGGTGGCGCCCACGCCGCCCGCCACGAGCAGGACCCGGTCGAAGCCCGGCCCGGCCAGGTTGGGGAAGTGCTTGGCCGCGCCGTAGGGCCCCTCGACGAAGAGCGGAATGCGCGTCTCGTCGTAGTTTGCATGCCTCGCCGCCGCCGCGGCCGCCACCGCAGTACGCGGGGTCGCCGGCGCCGACGAGGGCGAGCCCAGGGCCGACGCGGCCGAGCCCGACGACTTTGCGAAGCGAGCCAGCGCCGCCGTCATGGGGCCGGTCCTCCGGCGGGCGACGAGGGTCAGGTCGCCTGTGGCCTCGTCGACGTCGGCGACGGTGAAGGGGTTGAAGAGGAACTCGTAGATCAGGCTCGACGTCGACGTCAGGTCCGGGCGCGCGGCCTCGGGGATGGAGACGTAGACGTGCGAGCCCGGGTGCTGGCGGAACGCGTTAGAGCGGCCCGGCGGGATCGCCACCGTCACCTTGACCAGGTCCGTGCCCGGGATGGCCTCCATGACGGCCCGGCCCGTCATGGTCCTGAGCCGGCGCACCGTGATGTCGGCCAGCACCGAGGCCAGCGCGACGCACACGGAGACGCGGACGGGCGGGGCGTGGAAGAAGATGAGCACCGGTACCGCGAACGACACGAACAGGTGCGTGACGAAGAAGATGCGGTACGAGAAGCGGCGGACCATGGGCAGCGCCGTGGCCATCAGGAGGTTGATGCCCGCCCACGACACGACGCCGGCGAACACGATGGGCGCGAATATGCGGCGGCCGAGGACGCCGGCCTGCGCGAGGAAGTTGACGTAAAAGACGACGTGCAAAAGCAGAAGCATGTAGATGATGCGCCCCAGCACCCTGTGCCATTTGTTCACCTCCTCGTGCGAGGTGCGAAACACGTAGGCAAACGGATTCAGATACTTGAGCGATAGCAGATACTGGATGGGCAGCTGTGCTGCCGCCACAATACCGAACCGCTTCGTCAAGTGGAGGTAGTCTTTTTGAGCGCCGACCCCATCAGTAAGGACCAGGACCAGAATCAGGACCAGAAAAAAAGACAAAAGGTACTACTCACCATCACCCGTTTCCAAGAAGCAGAGCAGCAACAGCCACGCGGCCCAGCCGCCGCCCAGGAGCCACACGAGACGCTCGCCGCGGTGCTCGCCCAGAAGGTGAACCTCGCCGCCGAGCCACCAGAGGGCAGCACGCAGGGCCCCGGCCCGGGAGCCCCAGGCGGAGCTGCGGCGGGACTTGGCCTGGGGCGAGTCCGGGACGGCCGAGTAGGCCGACGGGGAGCTGTCGTCGCCCGAGGAGGACTTGAAGGCATTGCTCAGGACGCGGCGGGCCAGCAAGCCCACGACGGGCAGCAGCACCAACAGCTGCGAGTAGAGTGCGTATCGATCCAGGGCCTCGCGCCGTAGCGCCTTTGCGTCGGCGTCGAGGTCGACGAAGTGGTAGGGCCAGGCCATGGCGTCGCCGTTGTGGTGTCTGTCTCACCTACAGTATTTCTCCGTCAATCCGACCCAGCCCTGTGTGGACAGGCGCCGCTCGCTCATGGACGTGCCAGCACCGTGCCCAATCACCGAGGCAAAATACTTGATTGCCCAGCGGGTTGGTGCCCTGGGATGACAGCTGAAGGATTGACAGATTGCAAATTGGCAGACAGACGGCCAAAATGGTGGCAGGGCTGGGTTTTCCAAAGCACAGATTATGCGGCAAGCAACTCGTCGGTCCGATTGACTGCACCTTGCTGGCCTAGCCTAGCCCGCCTGCATGTGTCTATCAGGCAAGCTGTCAATTTCTCAATCTCTTCTGCCCAAGACACAGCCGCCGACAAGGAAACAGAAGAAAAGAAAACCCTGGCTGTGACCGAGGCCAAGCCACGCTGGGGCATTCAGCTCTGCTGCCCCTGCTCCCGCTAAAAGGCCACTGGGCAAACCCCAGAGTGGGCCCAGAAGCGTCAAGGCCCCTGCACCAAGAAGCATGCTCATACTGGAGAAAGCATAAGGGCAGGCTAACTCGATTGCTACCTCATGAAGGATAGACTCGCAGAGTAACAGTGCAGCGAGAGAGATAAGAAACGCGACAATTGAAGGAGGTTTAAGGAAGTTGTATAGCAACTGGAAATGTTAGCCTGGATAATCCGGGCTCTGAGAGACGGAGACCTCATCTGGCTGCCATGACTGAACGAACTCTCCCAGCACTGGGCCTGCCCCTGAAGCTCAATTCACCACTGCACGAATTGGTCCTTGGCAAACGACTGCTGACGTCAAGGGCCCTTGTTTCAGCTCACAAAAAAAATAATCCCCACAGCACGGCAGGGACAACCACCAGACGCGGGCACTCGACTCGCTCCGCAATTGGGTTTGACGATGGCTGCCACTTGGCTTCAACTCCCCTCCCCCGAACTCTGGATCCAATATCCGAGCACCCGCCGCTCGACACCAACGCAATGAGGCAGCTCACGGCCTCGCCGGCCCTGCGCGCGGCCTTCCAGCTCGGCCTGGGAAGCCGTCGCAATGGCTCCCTGCTGTGCGCCGCCACAATGTCAAGATACCGACTTCTCGGCCTCGCCCACCGATCCGGACACAGCAGCAGGAGTAGTAGCAGCAACAGCAGCAACCCGGCAGTACAACAGCCGTCGTCGCCGCTTTCCACATCACAACCACAGCCCCCTGCACCCTCGCCCTCGCCCTCGCCCGCGCTAGCGGCCATAGCCGCGGCCGTCAACCCGCCCGCCACGACGCGCCCTCCCCCGCTCGACCTGCCCGAGCCGGACCCCAAGGCCACGGCCATGAAGCGCGTCTTCGGCGTCGGCAAGGCCTACCTCGTCTTCTACAAGAACGGCCTGCGCGCCATCCTCACAAACTACCGCCTGAACCAGGCCGTCCTCTCCCAGTCCGCGGCACCACCATCACAACCACCACCGGCAACAGCGGACGGAACACCGTCGGCGCCGCGCCGCGAGTCCCGCGCCGCGCTGCAGCTGGGCGGGCGCGTGGGCCACGACCTGCGGCGCGTGCCCGTCTTCCTGCTCATCTTCGCCGTCTTCGTCGAGCTCACGCCGCTCGTGGCCGTGCTGGTGCCCCGCCTCGTGCCCCTGACGTGCCGCATCCCCAAGCAGGAGCTGCTGCTGCTGCGCCAGGCCGAGGACCGCCGCCGCGCCTCCTTTCAGGAGCTGTCCTCCCTACTCCTGCAGCCCGGTGCCGCCGCCCCCACCGTCATAGCTACAACATACGCGCCCGCTGACCGCGGCACCAAGGCCGCCGCCGCCGCTGCCGTCGTCGCCGTCCCCGAGACCCAAAAGGCCCTCGACGCCGCCGACCGCCATGCGGCCCGCAGCCTCGGCCTCGTCTCGCGCGCCTGGGACTGGGGCTTGGTCGGCGGCGTCCCCGCCGCGCTGGCCCGCCGCCGCCTCGAGGCCCACCTCCCCGTCCTGGCCCTGGACGACATGAAGATGCTGGAGGCGGCCGCCGTGGCGCTCGCGGCCGAGGCCCTCGGCAACCACGGCGGCGGCGGCGGCGGCGTCACCCGGCAGGCCGTCGTCGACGCCGCCGTCGGAGCCCTGGTCGACGACGAGGTCCGCATCGCCTGCGCCGCCCGCGGCGTCGACACCCTCGGCAGGCCCGTCGAGGAGCTGCGCCCCGTGCTGGCCCAATGGCTGCGGCTCGTCGCCGAGGCGGGCGGGAACCCGTCCGGGCCCATGAGGGAACTGCTCCTGTCCAGGCCCGACTTTTGGCCCCGGACTATCCCGCCGGGCCGGAAAGAGAGAATAGTGCTGCACATGCCGGCCGAAGGGGGTCAGATGTAGCTTTCTTCGCATGTACCACTACTATCAACATGTATCTATACAAGCCAACGGGCCTGTTCATGCCACCGCCTCAGACGTATATGGCTCTCTGGCTCTTTGGGCCTCCAAGACGAAGAGGAGTGTGTAACAATAGATTTCACGGGGTCAATGGACATGAACGCGTATAAATATGGGTTTGGGCGTGTGTGGTAATGGTCCCATTCTGAATCTGTTTGTCTCAAATGGTTTCTCTTTTACGACCAGTAATCGGGTCGCCCATTATTTCACAGCGCGAGGCGTCTGATCACACGCTACCGTTCAGACCGGAAAGATGTAGAAGGCGAGACGAGGGATGATTATATGTACAGATGGCCGAGGAATGGTATTCACAGCGCTCGTCGAATCCTCCACGACGAGGAAGTGGGATTGGAGAGGGAAAAAAAGAAAAACGAAGTGGATGAGAGAAGAAGAAAAAAGTGTCAAGCTCAGATGTAGCAGTACCTTGTAGCTTGTGTTGCGGCGCCATGTCGACTCCTCAAAGCAACGGCGGCCGGCCGTACTTCACACATACGAGTTTCACACTACTGTCTGAATCGAGCAAGCTGCGCCATGATGCTCTGCACCTGCTGGTTGGGGTCGGCGCCGTGCTGATGCGCAGCGGGCGCCACGGGCCCGGGGGCCGTGGCAGCAGGGTAGCCGGGGACGCCGTAGGGGGTCGAGACCGCTCCCGCAGACGAGGCTGCGCTGGACCCCTTGAGGTTGCTGAGGATGGTGTTGATATCAAAGTGCTGCGGCGCCGCCCCGCCGCCCATGCCATGGTGAGCGGTCGGATGCGGGTGCGGATGCGGCGGCGCCGGGGCTGGGACGGGAGCGTGGACGGGAGCACCATATGCCGCCGCCGCCATGCCCCCCGACTGCGGCTGCTGCCCTTGCAGAGACATGATCACTTTCTGCACCAGCGCCGGGTCGACGCCTGGGACAAGAGCCGCCGCGGTCTGGGCGTTGATGGCGTATGCCGGGTAGTTTGGTTGCCCGTAGACTTGGGGATACCCAGGCGCGGCCTGGGGCGCAGGGTACGCCGCAGGCTGCGGCTGGTGAAGGACCGGCGGCTGACTGCGCATCTTTGTCTGTAGCACAAGCTCGGCCGCCACGCTGACGTCGAGATCTCGGTACTCGTTGAAGTTGATCTGCGTGGTGCCTGGCGTCCGGTTGAACACCCGTGCAGCAACCTTGCCCACGCTCTGCGCATGCAGGTCCAGCTTCACCACTGCATGGGCCCCGTCGACCATCTGGCGCTGGACGATATTGTCAAGGAAACGAGGGTCGACGAACATAACGTCGGTCCTGAGGCCCCGGTCAGAGAATCCTTTCTGGACGTACTGGACAAAATCCTTGTGAACATCCTGCAACAGAAGAATCTGCGCGTCAGGGATGCCGCCCTGTGGCGCCCGGGCACTTTGTCCACCATAACCGCCATACCCATGACTGTCACCGTGCGCCCGCGTGGGGCTGCGCTGGCGGTAGTCGTCGGATCTCGGATAAGGCCTAGGCGACCGGGACCGGGACCTGCCCCGCTCACCGTGGCGCCCACGGCTGTGGTCATCGCCAAACCGATCTCCACCTCGACGGGCAGGTTGGTCATAGCTGGGACGGTATCCGTCCGACTGGCGACTTCCATCGCGTGCATTGTCGCGCCCGTCGTAGGCATCGCCCTTGCGACCGCCCTTCTTGTTGCGATCGTTGTTGCGATCGTTGCTACGATCAGGGGAACGATCGCGTTCCTTGCCGCTCTTCTTCTGCGTTTTGGAAACCTCCAAGTCTTTTGTCTGACGTCAGCTTAATCCCATAGCGCAGACATATAGATCTCGTGACATACTTATTTTGCGGCCGCGAACGTCGATGCCCTGGAGGTGCCTGATAGCCTCGGCGGCTTCAGCGGCGGTGTGGTACTGGACAAATCCATAGGCGGGCTTCAGTGAGATCTGTGCAAGGCGGCCGTGCTTGTGGAACATGTTGAACACCTCTTTTTTCGAGACTCGTTCTTGGGACAAGTTACCTAGCGAGGATTATCATTAGCCAGTTGGCATGAACTCGGGATGGGGCTAAAGTCGCAGTCACCACAAGCAGTGAAAGAGCACGTATGGTGACAGAAAATCTGCAGGCTATCAGATCCTGCGAGGGTGGCGAGACATACCAACGAAAATACGGGACCCATCCGGGAACTTCTCCCACTTGGCTTCGGCTGTATATCGTCGCTCATCAGCAAGAAACATGTCATACGTCTGCTGGCCAGCGTTGCGCGCGTTATGGCGAGAGCCAGACTGGGCCTTGGGACCGGATGGGGCTCCGCGAGTGGCAGCTGGGCCGGACGGAGGCATCGCGTTCCCGTTCTTGGCTCCGCGACCACCCTTGTTTACGCCCTTCTTCCCCTGATTCATGAGGGCCGCGGGACCAGTTGGCGGGACCACGTTGGCGGGGAACAACGAGGAGTTAGGTTCGCCTGGTTTGGGAGACTGCTGGTTGATGGCCAGAGGCAAGCCCCCGGACAGCGATAGACCGTCGGGCGGGGCTGGCCCTGTTGTCGACGGAACATCTGCACCGGCCGTTTGGACGGCGGCAGCGGGTGGTGAGCCAGGTTCCAGTTGCATCTGGGCAGCAGGGTCGGATGTGGAGGAGTCGGACGGCAATGAAGCCGCAGACACGGAAGGAGAGGCGCCGTTGATGTCATTCACCAGCTCCTGGATATCAAACGCGAGATTGGCATCATTGCTCGCGAAGCTACTCTCCTCGTAGTGAGCCTTGGGCAGGTCGGAGGATTCAGTTCTCAAAGAAGGCTGGGACGCGAGCTGAGACGGATCTTTTGGTGGCTGGTGCTGCTGGGCCGCGCTGGCGCCATCGGCAGGCTGCGCGGTGGTCACTGCCACGGCGTCGGGTTGGGCCACAGGAAGCCCGGCAGGTTGTGCATCAGATGGGCTTGGCGACGATGCCCCAGCAGAGCCTTCAGATGCGAGCGGAGAGGAGTTGGACTGGGACTTATCCGGTACAGGACCGGCCGGCTCGGGCTGTTCATGACTACTGCGCTCTAGAGACGGGGCCGATATGACGGACTCAACCTCGTCTTGTGGTGGCTCGGCCTCTTCCTCCTCACGGATCGGAGAGTCGAAAGACTTGGCGTAGTCATCCATGGCAACAGCCGATCCAGCAGTGCCGTCGGCAGCGGCCGACTCACTCACGTTGGTTTGAGGATCACTGCCGTCTTGGCTATAAAGATCGAGATCGTCATCATCAGAGAGACCGCCATCCTCTGAGTCGTCACGCGCGTTGTAGAAGGCAACAGTGTCGCCCGGAGGATCCGAAGGGACAGCCATGCCGGGTTCAGTCAAGGTGCCGAAAAGACAACGAGTCCTGGCAGCTGCAGAACAGCCAAGGTATCGAAAAAGCGGGCAGACAGGCCGGCAAGCCCTTCTGTGGAGGATTTGGGGAGGGCGGATTCCACCAGGGCAGAAAGGCAGGAGGGCAGGCAGGTACGTGCAGAGCGTGGCAGCGCTGGGATACGGCGACGATAGTCAAGTCAATTGTGTTCCAGCAGCCCCAGCGAACGGGCAGTCTGGACGGGAGTGGCACAGCGGCCGTGATGCTGGCGGCGAGGCGAGGGACAGCAGGCGAGATGAGATGTGTGCCGTGACGGACTGTGGCTGCAGGTGAGTCGTGGCCGGCGCATTCAGCTCACTCACACGTGAAGGCGCTGCAGAAATGAGAAGGGCTGCGTCTGCGTCGTCTACGGTCGCCAGCGGAATCGACAGTGTTCGGATGGACGTAATGGGTTTTGATGGAGGTCTGGCTGCAGATGAGGCCTACAGCATTTGATGTGAGCCGAAGCAGGCGTCGAGAGAGGATACTCTGGATGGAGGTGGATTGAGGTGAGTCCTGGCGAAGGAGAGGAAACGGAGAGATGAAGTAAAATCAGAGACGTCACGCTCAATGACGCGCGGGGACCAATCCAGCCAACTTGGACCCCTCGTGCCTTCTCCAAGAAAGAAAAAAGAGAGAAAAGTTTGGCCCACCTCCACGCCCATTTGAGTCAGCACCGGCGTGTTGAGGCAGGTGGCGGGGAGGAATAGGCTCGGCTAAGCTTCCCAATGTGGATAAGCGCATATCCAGCTCGCCAAGCGGGATTGTGACAGCTCACACGTGACCAAACTCATTCGCAAGCGGCCGGCGAGTGCAGCCTGCTTTGACAAACAGATTGCGGCTGGTCGATTCATGCAGATTATAAGGATCCAGGATATAAGGAGGCACATGTGAGTTGGTTTAGCCGACGGCGATGTGGGCTTTATATCGAAGTGCGTTCGCCGTGACTGGCCGGGCACCACAGCCGACGATCAAGGTCCTGGCGCGACCTGTCACGATGCTACGGCAGGCGACATCTGCACGAACAGTCGCGTCAAAAGGAGGCGCCGCCTCTCATCGGGGACTAGGGCTGGATCCCACACTGTTGGAAGAAGCGAGAGCATGGAAGGCATCAGGAGCCCTCACTATTACGAGGCTACCAAAGGGAGACACATCGTACTCTCGCTCGAGCGGCCCAGGAGGCCAGCACGTGAATAAGTCTGTATCCTTCGAAAATGGCTCCGTGTCGCCAAGCATAGACGGCTGACGAGACGGATGGCACAGAACCGAGAGCAAGGCGACCACCTCGTGGCCGCTGTACATGCTGTTGGCGAAGCTGCCCAAGGTGCTGCACAGCGGAGTCCGGGGGTCCAGATACTACGTCGCAGGCTCGGACTCGATATCGATATCGTCGCAAGACGAGCGCAGCCGCGACATGAACACGGGCACAAATCGACAAAAGCTGTGGCAAGAGATACTGCGCATCTACGCCGAGACGGTCCCGGGCGAGACGGACGAGGCGACCAAGGAAAAATACAAGAAATTGTGAGCATTTGTTCCAACCAGGGCATGGGCTGAAGCCAGCCGTGCTGACGTGAGGGGTTAGAAAAATGCGCGCCAACGACGACAGGATAAAAGCCAAGAAGCAACAGTCGGCTAAGAAAGCCAGAAGAGGCGGCTCTAGCGAATGATGGAACCACCGGCTTCTAATTCAAGCCACTAGGCGCATAAACCTTCCTTCAGCCCGCTGCATGTATAAAAACCGTCCTTTGAATTTGCTTGACTGTTGGCTCGGTTGTGTCAAAATGTCAAATGGAGCCTGCGCCTTTTTACCTTTTTAAGTTGCGGCGCTGGGGCGGTAAGGTATGATTCTTTACCGGCCCACCGGTAACCATACTTTCGAACGTAAATCGAGCATCCACGTGAAAGCAGCCGAATGTGCCGGCAGGATGTCTTCTGGAACGGAAGAGGACTGTTGGCTACCCGACGGGCTTGGGCATGCAACCACCAGGATTGGTCTGGTTGGTCGCATGCGGACCTCGACCGCTGTGGGTGGTAGTGAGAGGGCCCTCGAGCGAGGAGATGCTGGTGTTGCTGGCATTGGGCGGCTGCCGGTCCCATTGCCTCCAGGCATCCAGGCTGCCCCCATGGATGTCAGCTGAGGTTACGCTGGCGGGGATCCCATCAGCGAGGACCCTGACAGGGCTAGGCCTGCCATGGCGATCGGCTTAGCTGCTATCTTTGGCACTGGGCGGGGTGCAGCGAGCTGATCGGCTGTTGCACCACTCCCATCCCCCCTGATCAGAGGAAGGTCAAGAGGAACCCCAATTTCCATCCGACCAAGCATAGATCCGTCCTGATATTTCCTCTCACTCTCCCGCATCTTCCTCTCCCGCCGCATTGGCTTTGTGCCGTCGCAGTCCTGTATTAGCAGTACCTGGCCGCCTTTACGCGCCCAGTCCGAGCCCGGTCCGGTCGTTTTCTGTTGCCCATCGCGCCAACAGCCACACCCGCCCGAGGCTCCTTTTTGTCTCCACCAGCCCCAGCTGGCCGTGGACAAAAACGACCCCTCCTCGCTAGCGCCCAGCTTCTCCAGCATCGCGAAGGAGAACGGCTGCTGCCTCCACGCTCGAACGCCTGATCGACCGCTCCTTTCAAGGACCAGGCCGGCCAGATCGACGACTGTTGAAAAGCACGTATTCGTCCGATTAGCGACCTGCGCGCTCTCTTCCTGTCTCCGCACACCGCTCAATCAGACGGCAGGAGCCGCGCCAGTGTGGTCCTTGTCGCCTGCCCCCGCCGCGGCTTTTGCTTTGCTTTCCCGCGACCGATTTTTGGATTCCCCTTCCTTTCCACGCGGCCTTGGCACTTCCTCTTGCCCTCTCCCATCGACCTCGTCTCCGCGCTCGGCTCTCGAGCGGAGCTTTGCTTTCCTCCCTTGTTTGCTTTTCTCCTTCCATCCCACATCATCTCACCATGGCCACACAACCCGCAACACAGGGCACGGTGCAGCCCTGCAGATACAAGGTCGGCAAGACGCTGGGCGCCGGGTCGTACTCGGTCGTCAAGGAGTGCGTACACATCGACACGGGCCGCTACTATGCCGCCAAGGTAATCAACAAGAGGTTGATGGCGGGGCGGGAACACATGGTATGTTGGGTCGCGTTGGGTTGCGCCGCAGCAACATGTCCCCCATGGCCGCTGCATGTCCTGACGTCTGGCCGTGACAGGTCCGCAACGAAATCGCCGTCCTCAAGAAGGTCTCGATGGGTCACCAGAACATCCTCACCCTCGTCGACTACTTCGAGACCATGAACAACCTCTACCTCGTGACCGACCTCGCCCTCGGCGGCGAGCTCTTCGACCGTATCTGCCGCAAGGGCTCGTACTACGAATCGGACGCTGCCGACCTGATCCGCGCCACCCTCTCGGCCGTTGCTTACCTGCACGACCACGGCATCGTGCACCGCGACCTGAAGCCCGAAAACCTACTCTTCCGAACCCCCGAAGATAATGCGGACCTGCTGATCGCCGACTTCGGCCTGTCGCGCATCATGGACGAGGAGCAGTTCCACGTGCTCACCACGACGTGCGGCACTCCCGGGTACATGGCGCCCGAGATTTTCAAGAAGTCGGGCCACGGGAAGCCCGTCGATGTTTGGGCCATCGGCGTCATCACGTACTTTCTGCTCTGCGGATACACGCCCTTTGACCGCGATAGTGACCTTGAGGAAATGCAGGCCATCCTCAATGCCGACTACGCCTTCACCCCGGTGGACTACTGGCGGGGCGTCTCGGACCAGGCCAAGGAGTTCATCCGCCGGTGCCTGACGGTCGACCCGGTCAAGCGCATGTCGGCGCACGAGGCGCTCCAGCACCCCTTTGTCGCCGGATTCCTGGCGAGCGACGACAAGGGCCAGAACCTGCTACCCACGGTCAAGAAGAACTTCAACGCCCGCCGCACCCTGCACGCCGCCATCGACACGGTGCGCGCCATCAACAAGCTGCGCGAGGGCGGCCTGGGCCTCCAGGGCCAGCGCCTCATGAACGGCGGCAACGCCCGCGAGCCCGAAAGAGCCAAGGCCGCTGCCGCCGCCGCCGCCGCCGTGGTGGCTAAGAAGGCCGAGCAGCAGAAGGACTCCGGGTACGGCAGTGGTCCTGCGGGCGCAAAAGACAGCAGCGGCGACGTTGCCATGGGAGACGCACCGCCGTCATCCCACCCTGCTGCCCTCAGGCCTGGGGTCGAGGCCAACAAGGTGGTCGAGACGTCCAAAGGGCTCTGGACCGGCGTTGGCAGTCGGGTCTGAAGGTCGCGTGGTAGAAATCATGGCCGATTTCTCCTCCAATCTCTTACTTTCTTTTTATTTGTTCCCTTTTCTCAAATGTATGCCAGACGAAGATGGTACGGTGCACGCGGGCTTCACCAATTATATTATTGATATCTTTCTGTTGTTCTTTTTTTCACCATTTGCCCGGGGGTTTTTTGGGCACACGACGGCCACGTTATCTTGTCGGAAGAAGTTTATATGACGATACCATGGAGTACCAGAAACCTGAGAATTGCGGATTATGAAGCCCATCTTTGCAGCAACGCTTTCTGAAGAGACTGATTCGGACGGGATTTTCCTGCTTTTTTTGCAATACTGACGTTGAAGCCAGACTTTTGAGGTTGTATGAATGTGGGAACTCTAATGCTAGGCGTGCTAGGGTTGATGTCAGCTTTAGGATAGGGAGTACATGCAACTCCAATTTGATTGCTAGCGATAAACCCTTATTTTACGATAGCCTCCATCACGGCGGGCTTGTTATGTGCCACCGTGGGCCGACTAGTCCCTCCTCGGACACGAAGCGACCATTATGGTCCTCGAAGAAGGTCTGGTCAGTGGAGAAGTGGAGGACGCGGCGGGAGACTACGCGCTCGCTCCGCGCCACGGCCCCCGACTCGAGCTTGCCGTGCAGCTCCATGATCTCTTCCGAGAGGGGCAGCAGGTAGGCCAGGACGGCACCGGACGGCGCCCCGGTGGCCCCCGGGTAGGGCATGCGCACGTACTCCCGCGCGCGTCGGGGGACGAACAGGCCGTCGGCCGCGGTGCCCGGGGCGGCGACGGTGAGGTGGGCGGCTTTGTAGACATCCGCCGTGCGTTCCGAGTGGCTGCGGCCGGGGTCCTCGGGCGGCGGCGGCGGCGGCGGAGGGGGTCCGCAGAGTGCGTCGATCCAGAGGTGGCGGAGGCCGAGCTCGCGCGTGAGCGTGACGGCGTCCTTGAACGTCTGCGGGAGGGCATCGATGGCGAGGGCGGCGCCGACGTCGGGGGCCCTCGGTGCGGAATGACACTCTGGGCTGCGGTACATGAGGGCGATGTAGCGATAGTCCGCAGCCGGGTCGGGCTCGACGACGGTGACTGTGCCCCCATCCGTGGCCGGGTCGCCAACGTCGACGAGCCGGGGAGGCAGCGTCGAAAGTGAGTTGGACCGCGGCTGCTCCGACCGCGTGTCGTCGGTGAGCCAGTCCCGCGCCAGCCCGAAAGCCGTCTCGCCCGGGAACATTTCGACCGGCCGGCCCCTGATGACCGTTGCCAAGGGGTCGTCTGCATCCGGGGCGCGGCACAAAAAAGAAAAACACACACATATTTGTGAGCAAGTGATCAACCGATTTATATTTCAGGACTAAAGGGCTAAAATGGGGGGAATAAGAGACACACGCACCTTTCTCAACACATAGCCCCACGGCCGCCATGACGGCGAAGGCGTCGTCGGGCCGGTCCGCGTCGCCGCACCTCGACAGCACCATGAACCCATCGCCGGTACCGGTGCCGGTGCCGCGGCGGGCCGTCACCCACAGGTCGAAGTTGGGCATGACGTTGCGGGGCGCCGGCGCCGCGGCGTCGAGGCGCCGGGCCTCCTGCTCGACCAGGCGGCAGAGGCCGCACCCGCCCGCGGCCGACTGCCAGAGCCCGCCCCTGTCCTCGTGGTAGCGGAACCTCGGAGACGACGGGTCATTGCCGTCGCTGTCGTTGTTGTTGTTGTTATTGTTGTTGAGGGCGAAGTAGAGGTATTGTGGTGCTTCGGGGGTGCAGAAGAGCCTTGCGGAGTTGGGGAATGGGGGGAGGTTCCCCAGGGGGATGGACTTGCAGATCTCGCAGAGCGACATGTTGTCTGGAGGAGAGGGGTTAAGATGATGATGGTTATTTGCCTATCAGGAACGGGGTTTTAATGGCTAATGTTTAATGTGCTGGCTGCCTCTCGAGACAGTGTTTATGTTGGTGGCAAACCCGTCTTGGCGGCGTCGTCATGCACGAAACGTGGGCAGGGAGGGTGGGCGCCGGGAATATTAGGCAAGGCCTCACTGCAGCTCGAGGAAGGAAAGCACCCCCTCGTGCTTGCCAGTGGACGCATGCAGGCGGATGACGCACATATTGATGGGTGCGGGGAAATGGCGGCCACACATTGAGTTGCAGATGCCATCCATGGAGGTTACACCGGCTTGTGTAACCCAACTGGGCGGATGCGCAGTGCTTTGGTGTGTGCTGAAACTCAAACTGATGTTTATTATCATTGATTTTGACATCCTTACAACAATCCCCGCCCAGAACCTTTACGTTCCCACATTAGGCCCAACTCGTCACCACCACCCCTCACAGCGCCTTGGCCGGCCTCCGCATAAAGACGGACCTGTAGCAGCCCTCGGGGGCCGGGCCGCACACCTCGACGGCGTTGCCGTGGCCCCAGTTCTCGCCGGCCGCGTGGGCCTTGCCCCAGCGGCGCGTGATCTCGAGGTCCTGCGCCGCCACGGGCTCGAAGCCGTGCCGCGCGTACAGCCGGTAGCCCAGCGGCGACGACTCGAGCCGCGTCGGCAGGCCCAGCTCGTCGGCGAGCTCCAGCCCGGCCCGCAGCAGCGCCGTGCCCGCGCCCAGCCCGGCGTGGGCCTTTTTGCACGCGAGGATGTTGAGGTCTGGAGGGCAGGCAGGCAGGCAGGCAGGCAGGGGTATGTCAGCGGGCGGCGGTATGTTGTTTGTAGATGGTGCATTACAAGGAGTAACGGAGAAAAGAAGAAGAAAACATACGCATGTGAGGCTCCCCCTTGGCCAGCGCCCGCGCCGTGCGGTGCAAGTCCCCAATAAAGGCGTCCAGGACGACGGCGCTGCTGGACCCGCCCGCCTCCTCCTCGGCCGCGGCCGGCTCTTCCACGTCCCATTGCGCCGCGGTGCGCTCGCGCCGGTAGATGGTCCACTTGGCAAACGCCACCAGCTCTGGCTGCTGCTGCTGCTGCTGCTGCTCGCCGCCGTCACCATCACCCTCGGGGACGAACTCGGCCACCGTGAGGAGCCGCTCACCCTTGGCCGCCTCGTCGTGGTCCGGTCCCGGGAACAGGTCCGACGCAAAGCCGCGCACGGTCTGCTCCGACACGCCCCCGGGCCCCCCATGGAGAAGGCTCGCCATGGGGCTGGACCCGAAGGCGTCAAAGTGCACGCGCGCGATGGCCACGCTCTCCTCGGGCCGCGCCGGCCGGAGCCGCATCTGCCCGCGCGGCCTGCTGGTGGCTGGGGTGGGCGTGGTAGGGGCGGCCATGGTCCTACTGCTGCTGCTGCTGCTGCGTCGGTGGGAATTGCCGAGACTGCTGCTGTATCGGCTCGTGGTATGGCGCAAACTGCGAAGCAACGGCAGTGGTGGTGCGGCTGTCCGGCGCAAGGCTGTGCTGGGGCTCCTGTTGTGCGTCGAGAGGCAGAGCAGACGTCGAGGGTCCCGATAAAAGAGCCGGGACGATGTACTAGTAGGCATCTTAACACCTATATATACCTGGGTACTTATTTGCCTTTACCTCGTCTCCATGCAGCCCCGCCGTGCTCGCACATATGCACGTCGTGAACCAACTGGTCTCTGGTCTGCTTCCACCCCTTTTTTGCCATCTTTGTGGAGAGTCAGTTGGTCGGCCCTGCGCGCGCGCCCGAAGACCCCGGACCCCGGGACGGTGTTCCTGGCCAGGGTTCTGCCCGTTCACTGCACACCACGAAGCCTGCCGCCGTCTTTGTCGGAACATGTGCCTCTAGCCCTGACAGCCGCTGCTGACTAAGGCGTTCCGTGCCGCACATTTCCCCTCCCCTTTGATGGCATTTTACTAGCATTGCTTGACACATGGACAAGGGGCAGGTTCGCAGATGTGAAATTTCCGTCCATTTTTTTTCAAAGTCGCCCAACTGGATTCATGCCGGGGCCACCTATTTCGCACTTGAGAGCCCACTCCATCTTGGCCAACTCAGCCCGACGTCTTGCCGAGGCCAAGACTGCAGCTTGAGCGGCAGTGACTCATGCACACCATTTCTCACTCATCATACTCGATCGACGTACACTACCCACCTCCATCTCACGCCGGATGACTGCCAATGCCGGCAACCCTCCTGCCGATCCAGATGCGAGCGTCGGAAACATCGCGAGGCGCATCTAGGTCCACAGCATACACATCAGATCCCCCCTCCATTGGACCCGAGCCTCCTTTTTTCTTTTTTATGAACATGTGGGCAGCAGTCCCTGAACGCCATGCTGGGAAGCGAAGAGGTGTGTGAAAATGAGGGGGAGGATGATTAATCTTGACAAAAAAAGTGGACAAAGAAGCAGCAAGGCTGCAAGTGAAATGTGACAAGGCCAGGAAGTGAGGTGAACTCGGGTATATGCAACGCGTGGACGCCAACCCCAAGTGGCTGGCGCTGGTTCAAGGACTGGCACCGAAGGAGGATGAGTATACAAGCATGTGGGCGAGACGCTCGGCAGACTCTCACCATGCAATGTCGTTACAAACTCGGCCCCCAGGAGAGACAAGGCTCAATGAGCGCGGACACCTACATATCCATCATACGACAAGAAGCTTCCGTACGAGCGCGTACACGGTGGCTGGAGCCGCGGATCAGATATCGACCCGATGCCTCACTTCTTTAGACCGGGGATTGTGGGGATGGGAACTGGCGTCTGCCTAACCGACGCATCCGACTTGGTTTTCTTGGACTTTTTCACTTTGCTGGACAGAGTGTCGGTGGCCGGTGTGTCATTCGCCTTTTCGCCCGACTTGCTCTTCTTGCGTTTGCTTGTTACTGGCGTCGAGACTGAAGCTGCGGCGGAGGGTGCCGGCTGCGAGAAATACGGCGCGCGTCCGCCGGGACTCGGCACTGGCACAGGGGATGCCTTCTTGATCGGCTGCGAGTTTGCGAGGGAAGCTCCGGCGTTGGCCTTGGTCGCCTGTTCCTCGGAAGCAGTCTTGGCCTTCTTTGCCTTTTTCTCCTCCTTGGAGGCCTTGACAGCGTCGTCGGCCAGCTTGCGCTTCTTGGATTTTTTGGAAGACCTCTGGTTTTCATCTTTGCCTTCAATTACAGCATCCACCATGGCAACATCGCCGCCCCTCTTCTTCGGGTTGGGCACGAGAGGGGGGAGAACTGGCGTCGGAACACCTATGGGAGTGAAACGGCGCTTCAGGTCTGCCGGCTGTGGCCTGGGAGGCTTCGAGTGCGACACCTGTGGCTTGGGCTTGGCTGTGAAGTCTGTGGCTGCCAGCTGTGTAATCCTCTTGAGGTGCATCGTGTGGTCCACCGGCCGATCAACTACCATGAATTGCTCATCAGTAAAGTTCTATAAGCCGGATCAGATGGTCAGGAGTCAGGGACGACTTACCGATATCGTAGCTTGCGCCCTTCTTTGCAGGAACAAGAATCTGGAAAGTACTGGGCTTTCCACTGGCTCCCAGGTCGACACCGTAGTCGACGCCGTCGTGCGAAACGATCGAGTCTCCCGTCTGAGCATTCTTCATTGGAAACTCCATCTTCTCGATCACGCTGATGGGAACCGAGGCCGGAGTGGTGAAGTACCAAATCTGCTTGCCCTCACGCTTCGCTTTCTTGAACATCTCAAGTACCTCATTCGCTTGCGTGTTTTCCGAGGCTTTGCGCAGTTGGAAGCCCTCCCGGACGAACTCCTCCACACTGCTCGAGATTAACATATGCGCCTTTGCAGGGTATGGCAGGGGAAACGAGGCAATGGGAGAGCAACTCACGCGTCAGGATCAACGTCGTCGGTTCGGGCGAGCGCAAAGGACTCGTCAGCCATCTCGACGTCTGAGTGGTCCTCCGAGAAACTCTCCTCGGCGGCAACGTTGGGGGCCTTGGCCAGTGAGGAAGCGTCTTTGGACTTGGCGCTGCCGTTTGAGACTGCGCTGGCAGCTCCCTTTTTGGCCATGGCCTTCGTCTTGAGACTCTGTTCGGCCTCATCCTCACTAGACTCCGAGTCCGAGTCGGAAGCTAGCGCGACCTCCTTGGTGGCCTCCTTGGCGGCAGCCTTGGTGGGCTTCGAGACTTGGGTCGAGACTTTGGTAGCCTTGGACTTGGAGCTTTTGGCATTTGCGACCTCCTCCTCACTCTCGCTGTCGCTCTCCGATGAGCTATCATCGCCAGTCTTCGCGGGAGGGGCCGCCTTTTTGCCGCTCTCAGTGTCAAGTTTTGCGCCCGCATCCTTCGCTTCGTCGCCACTCTCGTCACTGTCGCTAGATTCCGAGCTTGAAGAGTCCTCCTCCGAGCTGCTGTCGGAACTGGTCGTATCTGAATCATCCTTGGCGGACTCCTTTTTGATCGCGGCTATTTTTGACAGCGACGAGGAGACCGCGGGAGACTTGATGATTGCCTTCGTTCCGTTCTTTTGTGCCGGCTCGAGAGTTTTCGGCCTCGGAGTGTCGCCGGGCGCAGACTTTGTTGCGCTGGACTTTGCGGCGGACTCGCTTGCCCTGGCCTTCTTAGATGCGGTCGCAGCGTTGATTTTGGAGAGGAAGCTCTGGGTGCCCTCGGCGTCGGAGATTTCGCTGTCGCTATCGCTACTGTTCGAGTCGGAAGATGAATCGTCTCCTAACAGACCAGCGCCGCCCTTAAGGCTCTTTGATTGCTGTGAGCTTCGGTCTCCGCTGCCAAAGACGTAGCCCCGGGCGCTGTTCGCCATGCTCGAGACGTGGGCGCCGAGCCCTTGAACCTTAGTCCTGGGCATCGGCATCTTTGCTGAGCCTGGCGGCAGGGGCGATGGGGTGTTTCGGATGATAATGAGGGATGCGAGGTTGGAGATGAGGCTGAAGTTTGCGTTATCGCACGAGGTTTTCTCGGCTTGAGGCTCTGAGATTTGCTTGGTACGAATTCGACGCGAAGGTTAATTGTCGAGAAAAAAAATTGGTCGCGGCGCGTTTCTCCAGAGCGGGGACCTTGCACTGTGCAAAACTGTAGTCGGGTGAATTTATTGGTCAATTTCAACTGCTCGCAAGGAGCTCCCCTGTGCGCCATGTGGGGTCGTTCAGATCAACGCATACGCCCGGAAGAGCTTTGAAGCAAACTCTCCCAAACACCCGCAGCGCGAAAGAGCTGGCGCATTGGACACCAACCTCCAACCAAGCATACCTATCCCAAGCCATGGAAACAAGAAAAAAGAGAAAGCTCGGAGCTGCCACAGCTCCCGTCTCGGCAGGCACCCGAGGTGAGGAAAACACTGGGTGAAATCCTGGTCGCATCGTGTAGGCTCGGTTTTATGGATGCTGATAATGGCACAGCACGGTCTGCTTTTGAGCTACGCGCACAGCTGTTGAAGAGCCAGAGCTCGAATCCTCCAGTTCAAGAGAGCGCTCCTGGGATAAAAGAGACCGCCGGCAGAGGCGATGCCGATGAAGCTAGCAATGGGGTCTCAAAATCTACGACTCCCATCTCTCGCGCCCGCACCAAACGCGCGGCGGAGCCCCCTGTGCAGCCTGAAAACCTCAGCCCCGAGCCCGCCGAGTGTATTGAAGTGGCCACCCCTGCTTCGAGGACTGTTCAACTGTCCAGCTTCACTTTGAACAAGAAGAACTTTCGGAGGAGGTCCGGAGGGCCGTGCTTGCTAAAAGTACCCGAAGGAGAGGTATGCATAACCTGGCTTTCCCCACCGACCCTTTGTATCTTGTGGATAGTTCAACGCTAATACCCAATACAGCGTGCCGTGATCTTGGGGAGTTATGGACTCAAGGTCCAGGCCGGTGAAGTGACTGTTGGTGGCGCAATACTGCGAGCCGGAGGGGATATTGTCTGGGTTCACTCGCCTCACTGCCATGCTCTTCCCGTCCTCCGGTTCACTGAAGATGCCACGCTCGAGTTGCACCCGCATCCAGCCAGTAGTAACCTCAGGAGACTGGCGAGCTTATCACCCAAGTTTGAGAGGTTATGGAACGAGGGCTCGTCGCAAGCGATAGGGGGCCGAGGGGCGGATTCAGTGGAGGACTCCTTTACACTCGTAGGTTCCCAATCGAGGACACACCTGATGACTGTTTTGCACGTACTAATAACTGCTCACAGCTCTACACCACGGATGATGGCCCAACATCTACGCCCTTGCAGGAGCTCGTGTCTCTGCCCGAGTGGAATAAGGCCTTGGCCACCCTGACGAAAGCCTCGAAGCGGGCAGGACCCTTTACGGTTCTTGTCTGCGGGCCAAAGTCGTCTGGGAAGTCCACTTTTTCACGGCTTTTGGCGAACCGCTTCATGACCGACAGCACAAAGCGGAAAGGCAAGGCCTGGCCTGGGGTCGCGGTCCTTGATATCGACCCTGGCCAGCCCGAGTTTGGCCCTCCCGGCGTCCTCTCGCTTGTCTACATCGAGGCGCCGAACCTCGAGCCACCGTTCTGCCACCCCTTGGTCGCATCGCAGGGCAGAAGCAAGACCTTGAGATCCCACTCGATTGCCACCATCTCGCCGATCACAAACTCGGACCACTATCTTGAGTGTGTTCTTGATCTATATAACGCCTACAGCAGCCAGCTGGGCGGGAAGTGTCCGCTTGTCATCAACACCTGCGGTTGGGTCCAAGGCACCGGACTCGCCATCCTCACTGGGCTGATTGCCAAAGTCGATCCCACCGAGGTTGTCTACATGTCAAAAGAGGGGCCGGAGGACACCATCGAGGGGCTACACGTGGCCTGTGAGAAGACATCTTTCACCCTCTTGCCATCCCAGTCGAGCAAGTTCACAGCGCGCACAGCTCAAGACCTCCGAACGATGCAAATGATGTCATATTTCCATATGGATCTTTCTTGCACACACAAGGGTCATCTGCAGTGGAGCGCAGACCCCTTGATATCGGCTCTTCCGTGGATTGTCAAGTATCACGGGCCGAGCCGGGGGATCTATGGCATTCTTTGCTACGACTATCAGCCATCCCTAGACATGTTAGGGCCTCTCATTGACGGCATGATCTTGACTGTCGTTGAAGTAGAGGATAGAGCTGCTTTCAGAGGTCTGATGCAAGCCCCACAGGGAAGGGATGCCATGGACATCGACGACGGCTCTCCAGCGGGCCAATCGTCCTCGGAAGATGGGCCGACGCCGATCGAGATCACCACTGAGGGCTTACCCCTGATCCCAAATCACAAAGGAGTAACGCTGGATCCACAATTCTGTCGAGCTGTCGGCCTTGCGCTTGTCAGAGGCATTGATTCCCAAAGCCATACTCTTCAACTCCTGACCCCTGTTCCCCAGGAGCGCATCTCCGAGATGGAATCTGCCGGTAGCATGCTGGTGCTGGTCTGGGGGAAGCTCGACGCCGCCCCTACCTGGTCGTACGTCGAGGATCAGCATAGGCAGGACTTTGAGTCACGCACGAAGCAGGGCGAGCACGGTGTCGACGGCGAAGGTAATGGCAGGGGCTCTAGTGCCACGGGCGATGGTAAGACCAGCCTTTCCGCGGCTGATTCTGCCCTGCCGTGGGTAGAGGCGCTGCAGGGGAACCAGAAACGAGCTGCTGGGTCCAAGCCTCTCAGGGTACGGCGAGATCTCGGCCGCGGTGCTAAGAGCACCGATTGAAGGATCTGGGCTGTCTGAAGGCTGGTCACTTCTCCAAGGACCAAGGATATAGGAGGATCTGTCATGTCAACAGTTCATCACGCCTTGAGATTGTTCTTGTGCTATTTTTGCCCCACCAGATTTTTTTTTCAGGATGAGCCGAGCTTGTGGACCTGAAGTAAACACGAGATGGCTTCAGCAGTACACGAAAGGAGTGCGACTCGGACATGAAGCCCTGTTTCAATGATGCTGAGTTGTTGTGCGTTACCTGTACGCTCCCATGATGCTAGATTTATATCAAACAGCATACAACACATGGCTGAAAAATGATGTAGTTACAGATTATGCAGAATACCTGTCTCTGAGTATTTAGGCCTCGCAAAATTATGTGACGGCAGATGTGACACGACCCCACTGATCCCTCGTGCATGGGATCAGCCCTTGGTGATCGGTACCACCTATATGTATATCCAGACATGGCCTGCTCCACCACCCTTACATAGATCCCGTCATCTCGCGCACAATCAGCAATGGCCGTTCCTCCCAGCAAGAGACGACCGTCGCTCACCGCTAACCAAAAAAAAAAAAACCCCCCGAGCCTACAAACAGGAGTACACAAAGCTCCCATCGGCACGCGGAGATATTAACCGTACTCGTCACACGTGCAGGCGCCGGTCTCCTCGCACCATCTGTGGTTGCGGCAGTTATGGTTCTGGGGCTGGTTCCGCGTCTTGTGCCGCGACAGCCCTTGCTCGCTGCGCAGACGCCCTGCGGCGAGCTTGAGGCGCTCTGTCGGCGACGGCCTCTCATCCCCCCCACTAAGCGCATTCGCACGTTCCCCATTTGGCACCACACTGATAGCAGAACTGGGCCTTGCAGGTACAAGCTGCGTTTTGGCCACAGCGAAGCCGTCAGCGCATGCCACGGCGAGACCTCGCCAGAGTTGCCAACCCGATTGGGGGAGGTAGGTCAGCACGATAATGTTTCTTGGGAACTTACTCATGTGATAGCAGCCCCAGACCTTCTCGACCATGGCCCCGCAGGTGCGGCACCGCCTCCAGCCCTTCTTGCGAGCGAGGTCGAGGAGCTGCTTCGTCCGGGGGTCTTTGGGGCACTCCCTGCCCTCGTGTGCGGCGGCCTTGCAGACCCCGCACGTCCTCTTATAGCACGACACGCACGTGCCCACCTCCATCTCCACAAACAGCGGCGGTATGAACCTGGAGCACTGCGGGTCGTGGCAGTAGGTCCGGTTCGGCGTCCCCATCTCGAGCGCCTTGGCCGTGAACCGGCCGGCGAGCTCGGGGCCGATGTACTTGCGGCTGGCTTCGAGGGGGATGTCGGAGCCGCAGCAGCCCGGCGGGAACAGGTCGTCGTCCCGCAGCGAGGCCTCGAAGAGCCGCACCAGGCAGTCCCGGCAGTAGTCGTGCGAGCACGGCGACCGCAGGCCGCCGTCGGGCGCCGAGGTGGTGTGGCACACCACGCAGTTGATGCTCGGGGCTTCTTTCCTCACCACCAGCGCGGTGGAGGTGGAGGTGGAGGCGCCCGCGGCCGGCGGCGGCGGCGGCGGCGGCGGCGGTGGCGGCTGCGGCTCGGCGCTGGGATCGCGCAGGGACAGGGCGTATGCGCGATCCTGCGTGACCTGCTCCTCCTCGGCGAGGTGTTGGACGATGACGTTGGTGTCGAGGCGGATCGCCTGCGAGATGCTCAGCGCCATGGCGCGGTCGGACCGCCGCTCCAGGTGCGTGGCGATCTCGCGCCTGTAATCGTCGAGGGCGGCCTGGAGGTCCGAAGGCGAACCCTCGGGTTCCTTGCCCTTGGTCAGTGACCCTAGCTGCTGGATATCATCAAGCTCCTGCTGGAGGAGAAGCGCGATAGTCTCGTCCTCCAGGTCACTATTGAGTATCAAGTACGCAGCCATTCTCGCCGAGCACCGCTTCGTGATGTTATACAGGAGATGACGGGATGCGGGGGCGAAGGAAGGAGGTGGGCGAGTCTATCCAAGAGCCTGAGATTAGGACGAGTGTGTTCCCCTCGAGTAGAGCTATTTCTGTTTGGGGGCTGCTGGATGGGATACGACGGGTTTTGCTAGTCCAGGCACAGACAACGACAATACATGGCAGTGGTGGTGTCACACAAGGGCTTTTCCGCTTTCCCAGGTAGGTGTACTGGGGCGGGGGTCTGTGTCTTGCCGCCGACTGCATCAGTGGTGGGCCTACTGCAGCTGCAAGCTGCCTCAACCTTGGCTAGGTCAACCCTGGCTAGGCAAACAGACTTCCCGCTGTCTTGCGTCGTTATCCCTGGCCCAGGGCGTCAAATCCTTTATCACGAGCGCAAAAGCTCAAATTTAGAGTTTAGCATTTCACGCTTTGTAGGGTCGACTCTGCATCAGCGCGCCCCAAGACCTTCCGCGGCAGAGATGGTGCTGCCCCATATGAAGAGCAGTCTGTTTGGTGGCGAGCCCGCTGGCCTTCAGAATGGCGTCCTTGACGGAAGCAATTTGGAGGGAAGAAAAAGTTGGGGTGCGACGGGGCGCATAGGCCTTACCCTTACCCTTAGACTCTATCGTGACACTTGATTGGCTGGTGAGCAACCTATGAGGTTGACCAGCGGGCCCGCAGGCCCACACTTAAGCAAGCTAGGTCGGGTGTTTCTGGCGGGAAGCGGGTATTCTTCGGCGAGCGGGCCTTCAGG